GACCCCCCCAGCCCAGCTCCCAGTGCGGGGGCAGGATGCCGGGGCTCCAGCGCACCCCCAAAGCCCAGCGCTTGCCCCCCACTGCCACCGTGGGGTTTTCCCCAGGGACGTGGCCCCAGTCCCTCCCTCACTCCCCATCTGCTGCAGGGAAGGGCTCAGGGCGAACCCCACTTGTGTTTCCCAGCTCCCGCTTTGCACCCACGACCTGGGGCTGCCCCCCCCATGGTCAGGGACCCCCATGGCAGAGCTGCCCGGCCCAGCCTGTCTTGGTGGCAGCAGTGGGACACGGCCCCTGACCGAGGAGGGGGGGGGCCACACACAGGGCGGGTAAGGAGGTGCTGTGCCTCAGTTTCCCCAGTCGGAGGAGGTGCCGTGGGGTTAAGGAGCAGCCGTAACCCACAGCCAGGCAGGACGGCCCCGAGGGAGGACACAAACACACACTCGGGTGGTTTCACCCCAAAAAAGCTTTTGAGGGGGAGACACCAGCTCAGCAGCCTCACGGGTACACGGCCAGCCCCAGCTCTGCCACCCCGCACCGGCCAAAACCCAGGGGACAAGGAGATGGAGACGGGGGGGCTGGGATGGACCACGGGGAGGGAAATCCCTGCACCCCCCCGAAACCGGGGGCAGGAGCTCTGGGAGTTTTGGGGTGTGTGGGGAGAAGGGCAGGGAGGGGGCTTGTGCCACGCCACAGTGGGGGTCATGCCTCGGTTGCTGGTGGCTTTTAAACCAGCCCCAGGCTCTTTTTGCCCCCCCTCCATCCTGCAGATTCCCTGGGGAAGGGGTGAGACCCACAGGAGCAGCCCCAACCCGCGGCAGGCGGGTCACCGCGAGCAGCCTGGGGGAGCTGGGGGCATGCGGTGAGAGGAGAGGCGCAGGCTGACACACTGCAACTTCCTAGAAGGAGCACGAAAAGTCCCAAACCACCCCCAAAAAATTACCCCTGCTCCCTCGCTGCTTGAAAAGAGCCTTGAAGCCGCAGCAGGGACACGTGCACCCCCATGTTGAGGGATGCTGGGTGCTGGTGGCTGCATCCCAGCAGCCTCTTGGGTTCACAGGGGGGTTTGTTTGCCAGGAGCAAAAATTAACCCAAACCTCCTTTTTTTTTAAGCAGTCGCCAGCAAAGTGCTGGGTAAACGGTGGCAGCGAGGGACTGTCCCCTCCTGCGGGGACAGCGCGGGGCACAAAGCAGCAGATGCTCTCCGCTGTCGTGTGCTCCCGCTCCGGTGCTTTCCCGGAAGGGTCGCTGTGACCTGCCCGTGTCCCTGGCTGCCAGCCTGGCCGCGCTGTACAAGGCGGAGGGGAGCGTGTGCTGTGCCAGTGACCATCCCCTTGTCCCAGGAACGGCTGTCACCTCCTCCGCAGAGCCACAGAGCCCAAAACCAGAGGGGGGGGACGGACACAAACCCATGGCCCCATTCTGCCTGTCCGGGAGGAGGCAAGTGGTGGAGGGGCTGCCAGGGCCCTGCAGGGCCCCCAGGGGAGAATCTGGCCCCAGGGACATCAGCTGTCCCGGGGAAAAAAAAAAACCAAAAAAACCCAAGCACAGTTCTGAGCAGTTGGCAAGCTGCTGGCTGCCTGCTCAGGGACAAGAAGCAGG